ATTATATAGGTATAGTATTCAATACTTCGATTAATCATTTTACTTTTACTTCTAAATAAAATAATACGCGCGTGTTAAATGTACATACACGTATGGCATACTGGGCAGTAGACTTTACAACTTTTTATCAGCTACATAAAAATATAATAATAATAACACAAACGTGAGCTTTGACTATAAGAATATCGCACATATTTTTTTGGGATGTGCCAGTTAGAATTTATTAGTTTATTCAAGTGTTCATTATTCAGTTAATGTTTTTACTTATGGTATATACATTGTACATTATTGTATACTCATATTTTTAAACAATTAAATAGTTTCAAAGCATATCTGAGGAACCCGAACTTTAAAAGCATTCATCTCCTACCCCAATCTTTTGTATTTCTTAGATTCATAAATTCATTAATATATTAAAAGTTTGTATAATATAATATAATATAATATAATATTAAATAATATTACATAAAAAGGTACTACATATATGATTATAATATAGTTTAAATTTGTAACTTAATAAAATGTCTGTATTTAAGATGAGGAAAATTATAATTGTTATTCAATAGGTAGATAGGTACTTACATATAAAAAAAAAAGGTTTTTCTCTTTTTTTTTAAACTCCAAAATGTTTACCTTCTATGTTCTTATTGTGTTAGTTGTAACTTGTAATAATATTCATGTTGGGGAGTGAGTTAACCAGTTGTCCTCACTCCTCTACAGAATGTACCAGTTGCCCTTACATATTGTATATACAATATTAAAACACCAACTCATAAAGTAAATATAGAAATAATAATAGTAATAATATAAAGAATAAATACAAAAATTATAATTATAAATTCCATAAAACGTAATTTTTCAAAAAAAGTAAAATTGTATAAAATGATATAAGCTTATGTAAAAAAAAAAAATAAGTAATAAGTATATAATTAATATTTTGAATTGAATTTGTAATAATGACTAGGTAGCTGAATTTATAAAAGCTAATTTGCTAATATTTTTACATATATTTATAAATGTTTCAATTTGTGTTTTTGTTTAGGTATTAGCGATTGGTGATATTTTTTATTTTGTGTAAGTACATTACTTATAATAATGTATTGTTTGAACTTTTTTAAGAATAGGTATTTATAAAAATAAAAATATTCAGGTACCTATTTACTATAAAGGTTTCTTGAAAAAAACGAATTAAATAATTCACATGCATTGGTAGTCCTTTCTGAAATCAATTGATTCATTAGACAACATAAAAAGTTAAAAAGTTGAACTTAAGGAAACATATGTTTCAATTAAATAATCAGAAAATTCAATCAATTTTTCTGATTAAGGTTGAATCGACATCAGATCTTCAATTAAACCATCATTTTTAATTTTATTAAGGGGATTCAAAAATTGGTATACCTACTAATGCAATAAAAAATTATATAATTATAATATATATTATAATTTATTATATAAGTGTTTATATAACATAATTGATTATAAATACTAATATTTATAATCAATGATAACATTTAAAAAATTTGCTGTAACTTTCATATAAATTACAAGAAATTACAATTTTTACAGAATAGTAAGAGGATTTTAAAATGATCCTGAATTTTTGAGAAGTAATATTCCACTCTTCAACCCTGGATACGACACTGAAATTTTTATATAAATATTACATACATTTTATAAATATGTCAATTTAATATACATGTATTAAAACGTGTAAATAATATTGTAGTTCGGATCATGAAACTAAAAATATAAGTATTTATATAAACATAACTTTTTGTACTAAGAAAGAATCAATGAAAAAAACTTAAGCTTTGTATAAAAATTAGGCATTTTTTAATATTTATAATAATACCATCATAATAGTGTCGGAATATTCCTTAAGCAGTATTGAAAAATCAGAATTTGAATAATTCCATTATTATTAAAGCAAAGTTTATGGTAAACAATAAAACATGCTTGATGAATTATATTGATAAAACAATTTTTAAAGTATTCAAAATAAAGGTACTAATTTTCAAAAATATTTAAAATATGTATTTGTAGGTATATCTATTTAATAAAATAAGTACCCGTAGATAGCTACCTAATTGAATACAAATACAAATATCTTTTTTAAACTTAAAAAATATATGGTACCTAGGTAATAGGTATTTTAACTTAACATAATATATAGTTGCAGATCCACTTCCTCAAAAAATAGTATAAAAACAAAACATTCTCAAATATACCCAGTTGGCAGTTCTTCTAAACCTCTAAAAATAAGTATATTCTATAATATTTAAAATAATCGAAGATAAACTTCATCTAAACTATGTAGATCCATTAACTGAACAATTGAATTGAAGCAAATACATTTGATTCAATCAAATATTAAAATGTTTAAAAAAAAATAGTTAAAGAAGAACCAAAATATTTGCAAAATTATAGAAAATCCTAACTTAAATATTTGGTGAAAATGTCAAGTCTCTACAGTTATTTATTTTTTGAGTAGTATAACAAAAAAGCTAAATACATTTTGTCAAAAAGTGTTATTATCTGAATATCCCCGTTTTTTTTTAAATTTATTTAAAAAGATTCCAATTAGATATATTTAGATATATTTTGAAAATTACTATGAATTTTTTTCTTTTAATTTTATACTACCAGAAATTAATTTCAAAATTAAAAATTGATAAACACAAAATAAAATATTAGACACATTATTGTAATTACAAAACAATAATCATTTATACTTTTTTTTCGTTTAGTATTAGTAATTATTTAGAATTTACCATTTATTTTAGTAATGATGGAAAATCTTCTTCAACAAAATAAAATCTCAAAATGAAAACGACGAATAGATCTATTATAGTTTATCATTTAATATTTATCACTTCGATATTCAGTCGAATCACTTTTATATAGGTACACTAAGATAAATATAGTTAGGACGCTAGGTATATAAAATAACTATTAAGGTATGTCTGTATGAATATAGTAAGTAGATGGTACCCAAATAATATTTTAATTAAACATTGGTCAATCAACAAAAACAAAATATAAAGAAACGTATAGATACCTGGTGGCTAGTACAGTGGTACTCAATTATTACTATGATAATAATGAAAAAATAAGCAATAATTTTTTTTTAATTGTCTTCTTATAATTGTACACGTAATATAGTATTCAATGAATGCGCATATAATATTATATCATTGTAAAAGTTATGTATTAACCATTTTTGTAACCGTAGGAGCTTGAACTACGCAACCCCAAATTCCAATACTAATATTTTTATATTGTTATAAACGAGGACAACTATAGTAGGGGTCAAGGATTCTACTACACTTAAAGATGCTAGTAATTCTCTTATAAAATGTTATTTACTTATTCTTAATTTAATGTATTTAACATTTGTCCATATCTTTTCATAAATAATCAGATAAACTATAAAAAAAAATTATGTAAATACGGAGACTAGGAAGAATACTTATAAATTACAAATATGTATAAATGATCAGGAAATGGGGTTATTACACGCAATAAAAACATCCAACAATCAAGGTCAGTCTTCGCCCACATAGGTGTAATTGGAATAATTTAATGGTATTTACTTTTAGTTTAATTGAATGATTCATTTGGGATTTTCTCATATCGCACCATCGACGTAAATGACCATTTGAACCAAGGACGACGAATGTCAATTCTACCTTCCTGGTTTATTAAAAGATGGAATGAATTAATGATGTGTTTATAATATAAACTGTGTAACTTATGTGAGCGATTATAAGCTCAGCCGGGAATTTCGAGTGACGAAAAAGTAAATTCTAAGTATGCGCCCAATTTTTCAATCATAAGTTTAATATTCACAAAGTAGGTATTAAATTTATAATCATTGTTTAAACTAAGTTTTTATTTTTAAAAACTATTTAGTATTACAACGACCAAAAGGAGGAGTTATTCATGGTTATCATTTTTTTTAACGTTATACGTTATACTTATATTTATGATATAATATATTATTGGGGTTACCTATATGCTCAAATTCAATACTATAAATTATAATATATACTCGTCAAGTTTTATTTAAGATATACATTTTTTAAACAAATATAAATATCATAAAATTATTAAACTAAAAAGGTACTTAAAAAATTTAATTTTTTTACTTATCAGTTAATTACCTATTAGTTGGTAAAATTTTTTTAAACAAAATTAATAAACAATGTCTCACTTAAGTTAATATTTAAATTTATGAATTTATGATGTATAATAGAAATCAATTTGTCATTATTAGTATACATAATAATTTATAATGTATTATTACTCTTCATATTATATATATATACATACTCAGGGGCTTATTTAGGTGAGGGCGAAGGAGACATTCACCGCTGGGCGCCAAATTGTAAATAGGAGGCGTTGCGTTAGAAGAATATTATTAAATTCAAATAAGATTTTATAGGATTAACCTTTTTTTATCTGATGACCTTTTTTTTAGGTAAACCACCGATGTGTAAAAATTGATCAGCCCTCTTCCCCAATAATTTATTTTAGGAAAAAAAAGGGCGCCAATATATTTTTGCACCTAGGGCGCCAAAATTGTAAATACGTCTCTGTACTTACTTTATTAATTATTTTATAATTTTTAATTAATTATTATCAAATGAAAGTACCCTCTATTACTTATTTTGTTGCTCGGTCTGTTAATATTAGATACAGCAAGTGACGAAAAGGTAATTATTGTAATTTTGTTTTTTCATTTGCAGGGAAAAATTAAATATTAAAACAAACTTAAATTTTATTAAAATAAAAAAAAAAAAAAACAATTAATTTACCTACGAATTCATACACGGTAATGAATACTATAATGGTAATTTATCAGTACATTTAAAAAACAAAAGATGACCTTGGGTATTAAATATAAAATATAAAGGCATTTAATCCAAATATATTTTCAATCGGACTCGAGTTAATTAAAAGTAAATAGGAATAATCGTTTTAAAATTGTCAATTATTTTATAGGATAGTTGGTTAGTTTTATTTTTATTAATTATTTTATTTTTTTAGATTAACACCATCGTAAAGTAATTATACACTTATTGTTTCTTAGTAATTGAATACATTTAAGGATATTATAAATATTAAGTAAGTATCTATTCACATAAATGAAAGTAATTCTTGATTATACCTAAAATGATTTTTATAATGTTCTATCTAAATTATTAATTATTGTATTGTCGAAACAATAATATTATGAACAGAAAGTGTTATTGACCTAAGATGAAGTCATAATTTAGATTATAATCAACATATATATATATATATATATATATATATATAACATATTATGTATAACTGCGAGAAAAAAAAATTAGAAAAATAATATGTAGAATCACTTTATACGTATTAAAAACAATCAATATACATTCTTATGTTTAAAGACGTAGATATACGTTTAATTTTCTTAATGTATTTAATACATACCTATCAATGAATAATTATATGTTATTACATACTTATAGGGTTGGATAAACGTATGCCATAAAATGTATCATTTATTTTAATATGATAGTGACGTAAAGCCGAATATTAATATTTTCAGTGTATTTTAAATAACAACGGCAACCGGTTCGCGAATCCTAGATAAATAATATTCCGCCAATAATAAATGTTGTAACGCATACCATCATAATCATCATTAGCCTTGAGCATCGAAAAAACCTTAATTGCAATTTGGTGGGAACATTATAAAATGGCGTGGTTTGCTTTGCCATTTTACATTTTTCATTTTCATCCGACGACAGCACGACGTGCAAGTCTAGCTAGACCTAGGAGACTTCGACACGAAAACAAAATACAGAAAATACAACATGTCTGCAACACAGAAAATGTTTGCCTGTAGTGGCTTTATGCTCGTCGTCGTGCTAGCGGCGTTCACAAGAGCCGTACCTGTTCCGGTTTCGGTAGAAGCGCAACCAGGTAAAATATAATGAAAATATTTATTAATTATGCTCATTTTTAAAAATCATCATTAATTATCAGGCATTATTTTAATTAATGGGTGTTAGAAAAAATACTAAATTGCAAAATAGTGCAAGTGACTTACACGAATATATTATGGCCATTTTAGAATAAAATAATATAAATGTATATATGTATTTTTTAATTTTTAATATACCGCTTTGTAATATAAAATATAATTTTTAACACAAGTATCCGTTTTCTCATTAAGTCATGCATTTAATAATTTAATCATTTTAGTATTCTTATATTACTTATTTTCAGTTTTTTTTTAACACATTTTCTGACACATAATTTATGTGAACATTTTTGTGGAACCTAAAAATACTTACATTAAAAATCGAATCCTGTATTATATGTATACATGCATTTCAGCTGAGTACAGACAGTTTGTGTCAAACCAAGTGATGGCTGAGTCTGCGAACGAACCGTTGTTGTCCGCATATCAAACTATGGAAGTCGACCCCGCGGCGGTCAGGCCCGTCCGGTCAGCTAGTCCGTTCCTCGGAATCTTCGGTGGTTACGAAAAACCATACAAGTCCCACCATCACCATCATCATGAAGAGCACGAATATGAACCTGAGTACCACCATAGGCCCCAACATCATAAGCCCCAACACCATAGGCCACAATATCACGGTGGTAGCGGTGCGGGAAGTTACGCATCGGCAGGAAGTTTTTCGGGCGGTCACGGTGGTGGTCAAAGCCAGAGCGGAGCCAACAGTCAGTCCGCCAGTTTTGGATTTGGTCCGTTCCAGGCCAGTTATTCAGCTAGTTCGGCGCACTCGGGTAGTCATTCTAACGGAGGGTAAGTGTCAGTAGGATAAAAATTAAAATAATTTAATAACATGTATAGTATTAATTTATCGTATATTATATAAACCTAATGAACCCGACCACCCAAAAAATAATAATATTTTTTACTTTTTTATGTTTATAAAAATAAATTAATTGGCATACTTATTATTTGTATGTAAAAAGATTTTAGACCCCCTAAAATTAAATCAAATTTCCCCCATGTTTTTAGTACAGACTATCAGTACACAAACATAGGGGGAGGGGGGCTCATCTTTTTTTGTTTAAATACAAATTATCAAGTGAATAATGTTTTTAACCCATATATTTCTGCCGGTTTCATTTTTAAATAACATTTTTATTTATATAATATGTACAGTTTTGTTAAAACTATCGTATAACACGATTCAAACCATAAGTTCACAACTAAAACAAATATTATCACAGCTATTGAAAATATATCAAAGGTCATCAAATATCATTTGAATTATTAAAAATAAAAAATAAATTAGATAATACTGTAGTATCTATACCTACTACGCATATGACATGAATTTTCGTATTACACAAAATAAAAAGACCCGGATTAAACTAGGTAGTTAAAATGTCTAAGATTTTATTTTAAATAATTTAGATATATGTAAATTATTTTAACTATGAAACCATTTTATTAAATTTCAGATTTTCAGACTATTGATTACCATTTTCAATCAAGATAATTTGAATTCTTAGCGTGAATGATTATTTAATAATTGTAATTTTTAATTTATTTGTTTTTAATTTTTATATTACTATAATACCTATAGTACCTAGTACTTAGTATCAACTATGTATAATATTATGATGTATATATGGTGCCATCGAAAAATGTATTTAAATTGAATTTTAATATTAGATTTTTGAATACTTTTAATTGTATTATGCATTTTTAAATGATCTTTAATGAAATTCTTTTATGGCATTAAATAAAGTTTTGTATTTTTTATTCAGCATTTTTCAGTTTGAAACCATGAAATAATGTGTATCATTTTTGGTATGAAATCGTCAATTTATTACAACAATTTTGATATTGTTATTACTTTCGTCTATATAATATAATAAGTACAATTAAATAAAAATAAAATAGAAATATCAAATATTGCACTTAAAATTTGAAAAGTGAAAAATCTTAATTTTTAATATATGCTTTCTGCGTTATCTTACTTTCTCTAACGTAAAAAAGAAAAGCATTTGTCAGTACTGGTCTAGTTGACCCCCGCAAGGAAGGCAATTCCCCTGCCACTCAAGTTTAGTTGACACCCGCCACTCTCGTATTTTTGATGTTATAAAATATATAATATACTGATGTACTGCAGACTGCAGATAAAAAAGGTATGAAATCATATACATTTATTTGTTAGACGTAAAAATAATGCTGGTCGAATACTGCTACAGCAATGGGTATTTGGTGGCAATGTGACATATGTCGTGAGACCAATGAGTGTTTCGTCGTATGTGTACCCGATTGGTCGGAAAATACATTATTACCAAAAATTTGCGAACGTATACGAATTGGATCGACCATTATATCTGATTCCTGACGAGCCTATAATAATATACAACAAACCGATCATTATACATGGTTTTACGTATACCTACCTTTACAATAATATATCAATGAATTTAAATTTAACACACCCATAATAGTAGCCTACTATTGGCGTAAGTTGAGGGGCTTAGGGGGACTTAATATAAACGAGGATACAAACGTCTATGTTACAAGATAGATTTAATCAGGTACTCGGGTGTCTATCTTGTATAAAAAAAAAAAAGCAATACCAAAAGTATTAATAAAGAGACTATTCTTAAGAATTCTTTTGCAGATAAACATAAATAAATAATGTTAAATTAATATAACGATTTGATGAAGTACGTTACCACCAATGGGTGGCCACTTCCATCTTCAACGACCATATACTATAAACTGTTTTATAGATTGTAAAATAAAAAAAAAAATTATTATAAAAAAAATGTTATAAATATGTTAAAATATGGTTTTGTTGAATAAATAATTTTGAAGTATTTATATACATCTTCTAAAATAAATTTTATAGTAAAATTGTTAATTTATATGTAGGGGGTGCAGGGGCGTTGCCCTCCTCGGACCTGTTTTATGTTTATAATTTTAGCCCTCCCTCCTTCTAACAAGCCAAATTTTCGCCAATGTGGCCTACTTAACACCTAATGCAATGTAGATCGGGTACTCACTTGCCTACTTATTTTAATTTAATTTTTTATTTAGAAAATATATAATCTGTAATAACGATTATAATAAGCATATGAGCGTATTGCGTACAGAAGAAAAAATAATATACATTACATGAAAGCCAAGGAGAAAACTACCTAACAGCATTGATTATAGAATATTCTATAATCAATGCTAACAGTAACATTCAGAGTATTCAGACGCAATAGACCATCAATATTGAAGAATAAATTAAAAATATAAATCGTATACGACTGCGTCATCTAGTGGCTAAAGTAAACAACGGAATCTTAGAGAGTGGGCCCTATATTCTATGAGAATAAATTATAGTATAGATATTGGATAATCTTCCAAATTCTAATATAATATTTAATGTCTTAAATAAATAAGACATGCCGATATTTAAAATATTTTTTTAATTGGCGGCATGGGCCACAGTTAAACTTATTGCTTACTTTATTTATCATCAATGGCGTAGCCAGGATTTTTGTCCGGGGCTGATCAATTTTTTACATAGTTGTGGTTTACTTAGGTTCTTACATAATTTGAACATACAGATGCTGAAATTTTATTTTAGATTTTTGTTCCTATAACCCTTAACATATATTGATTTAATATACTTGTGTACTTTAAATACTTTGGATATTTCATTTTAATAGTAATATATACAATAATTTTTAAATTTTCTTAACATTTCGGGGGGGGGGGGCTACAGCCCCCTTAGCCCTCCCACTGCTTACGCCACTGTTTATCATAGTCCTGATTGCAAACATTGTAAATTATGAACTACTGTTAAACACGTACACGTTAATCAGATAGGTAGTACACCGTATTTGCGATCACAATAATTTCAAATATACTTAAATTAAATCTGTGTAAAACGTAAATTAGGGATATGTAAGCCTTATCGCCTATTTCTAGTCTTCATGGAAACACCGGTCGCACGATGTATCATTATAATATATTTATTTATTATGTACCTAACTTTATTATTTAATCATGTTAAGAAATCTGAATTAATATTTAATACTTTAATAGTAAGTTAATAATATTCATTATTCGGTACTATCAATTATGTACAGAAACGCTTATCAGTTATCAGTTTTATGAATGGGTCCTTATCATTTGCCGTTATATAGTTTGTAGATAATATTAGTTTCTGACCACCTCGAGAAATATGAAAACGAAAAAATTATGTTTGCCAGCCTGACGACTAACCATACCGTGTGCTGTGACGTTTTCCACGTCTGCAGCTACAGCCGGCAACGTCATTAAGCCCATTGGCCACTGTGTGTCGACTGTCGAGTAGTGATCGTGACGATGAGTTGCCGTGGTTGTTAAACGTGTCCGTTACTTTCATCCGGCTTCACTCAGTCATTGCGCTTTCGTGGTTCGAATTTTATTTGCCGTGAGCTGAGCAGTCCCAAAATTCCAAGATGCAGTTCAAATGGATATTGTTGTGCTTGTCCCTGCTTGCCGCGTCCACAGGTACTTAATTGTTGTTAATGCGCCTATGACTAGTGTTCGGTGTATTTCATTTTTAAAAATCCTGACCTAAATACTATGCATGTTGTAGGTGTCGCGCGTGCTGAAGATGAGATCGACGTTGACGAAGAGATGATTGTCAGTGAGGATCAAGGCTTAGTCGATTCTGATGGCGATGAGTCTACAATCGAAGACTTGGAGCAAACAGACGCTGACACTTACTTACTGTTCACCAAACCTGTGTTTGAGGAAAAAGCTAGCATAGGTAAATTGCAAATCCCTTGCGTTCATCTTGAGCAATGTTTAAAACTTAATACTTTCATTTAGTGGTAACCAAAATTCAAAAACTATTTAAAAATATAGATTATTTAAATTGTCTCCACTGAGAGACGCTTCTTCACTCTTTGAAACATCTTTTTTTTCTCACTCATCACATTCACTTATTCTTCTGTTTATCTAAACATATTGTATGATAATATATTTAAAATTTAAAAATAATAAATAGTTAATGCATTTGTTATGAGTTGTAATAATTAATAAATTCTAAGTATCAGTTATCATTCATAACAGTATTGTTTAATGCTTTATTTTTAATTTAAATTTTAAATCTAGTATTAAGTAAATGTTGATTAGACAAACATTTTATTACTTTAGATACTAATTTTTAAATATTATGAAAAAGCTTAATTGTATGCAATTTCATTTATTTAGACTTATAGTCAACCAACAAGAATGTACAAAATTAGAAATTAAATTTACATAGGTATAAAATATGAAATCATGAAAAATTTACCACAAATATAATTAATAATACAATAATAAATCTTATAGTTTCTTATTATTTATTAATTATATCATGTACAATTAACATATTATTTTTTTTTTTTTATTATTAGAATTACCAGCTGGTCGTTTGTCTGAATTTCTTGTGGGATTTACCAATAAAGGATCTAATGATTTAGTCTTGGAAACTTTGGATGCTTCACTTCGTTATCCTATGGATTTCAATTTCCACATTCAAAATTTCACTACCGTCTTGTTAGAAAAAACAATTCCACCAGGATCCCAGGCTACTCTTGGCTATGCCTTCATTCCAGCTGATGCATTTGCCGGACGTCCATTTGGACTCAGCATTAATCTTGCTTATAGAGACTATGTAAGATGTTTATTTATATAATTTTATAAATTTTGTTTTATAATGTTTTATTCATTTAGGAAGGAAAACAAATGATTAGTAAATTATACAACGATACTGTAAACATAATTGAAGTTGAAGAAGGTTTAGATGGTGAAACACTATTTTTATACGTTTTAATGGCTGCAGCTTGTGTTCTTCTTTTGGTCGGTGGACAACAGTTTCTATATTCAGTGGGCAAGAAACGTGTTGGTGGTGGTCTGCCAAGTCGTACTAGAGCAAATTTGGAAACTGGAACAAAAAGTAGCAAACAAATTGATATGGACTGGGTTCCTAAAAATGTTATCAACCACTTAAGTAAGTTTATAAAGATAGAATTAAAAAATGATTAAAAGATTGATTGTTAAAGTATGGTTTGAATAATAAATAATGATTTACTAATATTTTTTTTAACATGAAATGGTTTTTAAACCTTCATTAAAAGCAAATAATTTATATCAAATTAGTAGATAATTTTTAAAATTTTAACTTCCTCGTTAGTTTCTACAATAATATTGAAACATTAATCATAAATCTACCAAAATTAAAAAATAAACAAGTCATTTGATGTGTAAATCTTATTGTTTCTACTTAATGTTATGCAATTTTAAATAATCTTATTTAGAATAGAATATTTGTCCTTGTAATTTCTTATTGCTCTTAAATTTAAAAACCTTCTACCCTATGATCTAGCCAACACAAGGTGTCTGTATCTGTGAACCTTTTTCATAATGAATAAATTAACATTAATTATATGACATTACATTTTTAATTATTATAGTTTTCAATAGTTTGATACCAAAAAATTCTTTATAAATTGGTGATTTTGAGTAATGAATATTGTAGAAATTTTTACTCAATAAAT